GCTTTTATCGACGAAAAATCTCGGAGACAAAGTTCTCTTAAGACTTGAGTTTGAATGCTGTTTGAAGAAAGTTTGAAGGAGAGGCAAACATGATAATGCTGTATAAAGAGAGAGAGAGAAAGAAAGAATTTCCTCCTCAAAATCTAGAAAAAGAGACAGATCAATAGATGTCTTCCAAGGATCTTCACACAAGATTCAGGGCCCTTCCACACTGCCCGATATCCCAGAATATCAAGGAAGAAAATCCTACAATATCTGCTTTGACCTGAGTTATCTGAGTCAACACTCAGATAATGTGGGATTTTCTGCCTTGATATTCTGGGATATAAAGCTGCACGGAAGGGCCCTCAGAGACACTTGTCCACTTCTGTTGGAAGGTGACCACAGAGTCACACTGGAGGACCTAGAGATTCCTGTAGAGGTGTTCTTTGAAATAAAAATAATGTGTTTTTCATTTGCATTTCCCCTACCTTGGGTTATCTGAGTCAACACTCAGATAATGTGGGATTTTCTGCCTTGATATTWTGGGATATAAAGTTGCATGGAAGGGCCCTCAGAAACACTTGTCCACTTCTGTTGGAAGGTGACCACAGAGTCACACTGGAGGACCTAGAAATTCCTGTAGAGGTGTTCTTTGAAATAAAAATAATGTGTTTTTTATTTGCATTTCCCCTACCTTGGGTTATCTGAGTCAACACTCAGATAGTGTGGGATTTTCTGCCTTGATATTCTGGAATATAAAGCTGCACGGAAGGGCCCTCAGAGGCACTTGTCCACTTCTGTTGGAAGGTGACCACAGTCACACTGGAGGACCTAGAGATTCCTGTAGAGGTGTTCTTTGAAATAAAAATAATGTGTTTTTTTTTCATTTGCATTTCCCCTACCTTTGCAGGGGTCTTGCATCCCTAACCCAGCAAATGTGGAGGGCTGAGACCATGTCTGTCCAGTAGATAAACCCCATGATCATGTCATGCTATGTCTTGGGAAGATACATCTCCTACTCAAGGAACATGAGGAAAAACTTCCTGACTGTGAGAGCCGTTCAGCAGTGGAACTCTCTGCCCCGGAGTGTGGTGGAGGCTCCTTCTTTGGAAGCTTTTAAACAGAGGCTGGATGGCCATCTGTCAGGGGTGCTTTGAATGCAAATTTCCTGCTTCTTGGCAGAATGGGGTTGGACTGGATGGCCCATGAGGTCTCTTCCAACTTTTTGATTCTATGATTCTATGAACAGGAAGCCAGTAGGGAAGGTTAAGGGATTGAAGGCAAAAATGTCCTTTATTGTATTTCATTCAGAAAAAAAGAAACAAGTGTGACCAAAAATTTGTAAAAGCAAATAAAAAAGAAAACAATTTAAATCACTATATCTACAAGCCTGATAGCTGATACCATGTATGGCATACATTTCAGAATAAGATTGCTTCTAGCATTGTCCTCTGAGATCCACACATGAGATCTGGATTTCTTTAAACGCTGTTGAATGCTGTTTATTACTTCCATTCCAACGGAGACCAGGCATGAAAGCAGAGATTGAATGCTACTGGAACATGGCCATGCAGCCCAGAAAACTCACAGCAACCCAGAGGTTGAACAGTTTGATCCTTTTTTTGCAAACACTTGTTTTCAATCACTTTGCTATATCTACTTCAATTTTACAGAATCCTTCTGAAATGCACATTTCACTTGAAAAACAGTTACTTTTTCCAACTGTTCAACTATGTACATGTGTGTTTGGGTGAGTGTATTGATTTGTTTGCTTGCTTGCTTTCTGCCAAGGTGTTGTAGAAACACCTGTCAGGTGGGGCCCAGAGATTGGCAGGGCCTGCAAAGCTGTGTGCCCCACTCTTGGCACTTTTCTCCCTCTCCTCTCTGTCCTTTTGGTGTGCGGCAGCTGACCTTAGCTCTGTGTTCGCTGTCTTCAAAGATGGCAGGTCATCCATCACTGCCTCTGCACACTGTCAGCATTCCATTTAATCTCACTTGTAATTTTCGGAGGGGAGGCTGGCAAAAGCCACAACCAGAATTTTAATGGTATTTTTAAAAATACAACTAGAAGCCAGTTAATATTTCTTGGCTTTGTGCGGTCATGAGGGCTACTCAAATGTACTAGAAAGTTGAACATTTCTCTCAAGTTTTTTGAATGATTAGATTAGCCATCCTGAGTCCCTCTGGGAAAAAAGTGCAGATTAAAAATTATTATTATTACTATTATTATTATTATTATTATTATTATTATGACACAAAAGCACAGTATGTCACAACAAACAAGATATATCTGCTGGAATTTGTATCACCAAATCACAAGTCGAACACTTCCCAAGCATCTAGAACTGTTTGATATATTGTTATTATTATTATTATTATTTGAAACACAACAAGATTAGTACACAGCAAACAAGATCACTGTGAGTTGTAGGTTTTTTCTGGCTATATGGCCATGGTCTAGAGGCATTCTCTCCTGGCATTTCGCCTGCATCTATGACAAGCATCCTCAGAGGTAGTGAGGTCTGTTGGAACTAGGCAAAAGGATTTATATATCTGTGGAATGACCAGGGTGGGACAAAGGACTCTTGTCTGCCGGAGCTAGGTGTGAATGTTTCAACTGACCACCTTGATTAGCATACAATGGCCTGACTGTGCCTGGGGCAAACTATTGTTGAGAGGTAATTAGATGTCCCTGCCTACTTCCTCTCTGTTGTTGTGCTGTTGCAAGATCACTATGCTAGCTGTTTTATTGGATCACACGTCAGACACTTCCCAAGTGTCTAGGACTCTGTGATGTATCGGTGAATAATGTGTGTAGATCCCAGTAAGGTGGCCTTTTGCAGCTGGCAGGTGGTAATTTTGTCAGCGCCGATGGTGTTTAAGTGCAAGCCAAGGTCTTTAGGCACTGCACCCAGAGTGCCGATCACCACTGGTACCACCTTGACTGGCTTGTGCCAGAGTTTTTGCAATTTGATCTTTAAATCCTCATATCATGTCAGCTTTTCCAGTTGTTTCTCTTCAATCCTACTGTCACCTGGGATTGCTACATCAACGATCCATACTTGGTTTTTTAACACGATTGTTAGGTCAGGAGTATTGTGCTCCAAAACTCTGTCAGTCTGAATTAGGAAGTCCTATTATTATTATTATTATTATTATTATTATTATTATTATTATTAGGTTTTATATTTTGTTTGTCTACTGTAAAATTGCATTCATGCAGTTAAGAGGTGGTTGTGCTATAACACTCTTCTGCTGAATATCAACATTGAGCAACTAGTTGCGTGCTTGTGGGTCTGATGACCATTTTGAACCACAATATACACACACACATACACACACACTGCAAATGGAGAATGTCTCATTAGGCCTTATGTTGTGAGGCCACCATCTTGTGAATACTGAGCCTAGGGACTGTTTGGATGCTGGGAAACGTCTCTAGCAAGCTTGTTTTCTGCTTCCTTGGAGACTAGGACGCGGAACAATGGCTTCAAACTACAAGAGAGGAGATTCCATCTGAACACGAAGAAGAACATCCTGGCTGTGAGAGCCATTCAGCAGTGGAACTCTCTGCCCCGGAGTGTGGTGGAGGCTCCTTCTTTGGAAGCTGGATGGCCATCTCACTGGGATGCTTTGAATGCAATTCTTCTGATTCTTGTCAGGGGGTTGGACTGGATGGCCCATGAGGTCTCTTTCAATTCTTTGATTCTATGATTCTAGTGATAATCTTTTGCAATTCTACACCCTGCCTTTTCAAGTGGCAAAGGCTTCATTCATAGGTGGTTTGTGGTTGCAGAGATATAGCGATTGCAAACTGGTTATTATTAACAAATCATGAACTGAATATGTCTATTTCAAAATGGTCCAAAAAGTACAATGTATGCATGCCTATAATACTAATAGGACTCCAGGCATTATTATATTGGTGTTCCCAACTCTCTTTAATTACAAAAATCATATCTAAGTAAAAGAGAACTTCAGTGGTAGTCATCTGCGTCAACTCTGCTCCCCTTCCACAATGTAGTCACCTCAAGTTGATATTCTATTCATTGAATCTGCAGTTGTCCTTTTTATGAAAAAGGTATGATATAAATAAGATGATAATAAAGTTCAGTTATGTTCTTGTTCATGAGAAAAGGAAAAAGAAAACAAATCGACCAACAACCCATTCCTGTGATTATTTTCATGAGTATTTACAAATACCTGTCCTGATTGGAATGCTTTTGTTAGAATTGATCTGGCTCATGTAGGTTCTCCAGGTATAACTGATACTTGTCCCTTTCTATATTCTGTGGGTATAAGCAGAATCCTTGCAAAGATGAAACCTGTCATTTATGTGCTTGGCCCTTTCACTTTCTGGTTCAGAAGATATGAAATGGCTGGGTATCCTAACACTTTCTAAAGAAGTTGTAAAGAGGAGAGATTTGAACCCTCAACTTCAGAGTAATAGTCCAGTGCTCAAACCTCTCTCTCATGCTGTTCTCTAGCCCCAATTATAGCCAATTGAATCTATGCGATTTACTTGTTTCAAAAGGGGAACTGTTTTCTTCCATGCAACAGCAGAAACCTTGAGAAAGGATCTGATTGGCAAATAGAGACTGGTAGGGAGATAGACAGCTAACTTACCCTAGCTAAATTGAAATCTGCAGAGGTAGATGAACTGCGTTCCAAATTACTGAAATGAATTTCTGATATACTCTCTAAACTCCCTGGCATCATTTTTGAAATATCTTGGAGAAAAGGTAAAGTGCCAAGGCACTGGAGAAAATTGATGTTGTGAAACTGCTCAGTTCCCTTTTCCCCAAACATAAGTCCACCTATGTAGGCATAAATGTCACACTGAATTCCAATCAATAATCCTAAGTCCCAAATATGAAGAGTCCAGGAAAGTTATAAATAGATTATGGCAGCATGTAGATTATATTTCTAGGAATCTTACCAAGGTAAGGTCATCATCAATTTTCATTGGCTGGTTGCGACTCTTAAAAAAGGTTTTCTTCATTTTGTTGTTGTTGTAGGTCTCCAAAGAAGAAGGTATGATCTTGGCCAGAGAGTATGCTTGCCCTTTCTTTGAGACCTCTGCTGCACTGCATTTCTACATTGATGATGTCTTTCACAATCTAGTGAGAGAAATCCGCAAAAGAGAAAATTCACTGCTTCTAGCAGAAATGAAGTTGAAAAGCAAGGACAGTCTGTGGCAGAAACTGAAAGCATCTTTGAAGAAGAAGAAGAATGAAAGCCCTCCTTGGTGACACTGATTGTTTACTTAAGTGCTAAATAGTTGGATGACAATTATGTAGAGCCCAATGTCTATTGATTTTCAAAAGAAATACATGCAAATGGTATTTTTTTTCAGGATTCCATAGTATAATTTGTGCAAGATGGAGAGATACTCCCTTCTAATGTGTTAGTAAAGAGAAGTTTGAGATGTATTTAATGTGTTTATGGGGTGTATATGTCTTTATAAGGAGGTTGTATTTGAATGGCCTCAAACCCATTAATTTGTTCCAGGTAGAGTAGACCCATTGAATCAGTAGTTGACATGTTGCTCAGTAAAGACTTTGTGACAGATGAAAATAGCCCTTGGAGCCAATCCTATTCGCCTTATGTGTTGTGAAAAACCATCGAAAGCTCTTTGCTTTGTTCTGTAATTCATTCTAGCTGTTTCACATAGATGTCACTACTTGATGACAAAATCACAGAGTGATGGTCAACCATGTAAGATCTCATTTATCTTCAGCCTTTAGGGAGAAATATCACTATTTGCATCCCTTCTAGATTATGAAATGCAAGGCAAGATCACTGTGCTTCAATATAATATTTCCACTCACCCGGAAGCCCTTTACATGTGCTCTCAAAGGGAAGTCTCATTGAGAGAGGATTGAATTCTGGATATATAGCATTACAGCATTAATCAGTTTGAGAGTGCTTCCAGTTGTCCCAGAATCACAAAATATTAGAGATGGAAAAGACCACAATGGTCATCTAGTCCAATTATTTGTTAGATAGGAATCCACAACTAAACCTATCCTTAAACAGGTGCTTTGAATGAGATTTTCCTGTATCTAGGCAGGGAGTTGGACTGGATGGCCCATGAGGTCTCTTCCAACTCTATGATTCTATGATTCCTGAAAGATGCCCATCCAATGTCTGTTTAAAGATGTCCAAATAAGGAGAACCCGTCCTTTCAGTCAGTTCATTATGTTGTCATTGGGACTTCCCAAGAAGATGACATTTATTCTTATATATTACTGTAAATCATAAATTTCATTATTGCAAGCCAAAATGCATTTTTTCTAAGTGTCCCTTTATTGCAAAAAAGTAAACTGTGCAGTTTGAGGACTATGTACTAGGCCTGGGTAACAACGGAAAATTTTGTTTCTAAACTCGTTTCGTTTTTAGGGGGGCCTTGCGTTTCGTTTTCTTAAAGAATTCCAAATTTTTACTTTAAAAAATTTTGAAATATACGAAATTTCGTATAATTACGAATCGATTCGTTAATGGCGGACGCGATTGCCAATATGCTAAAAAAACCTCCAAATGGGACAGGGGGAACTTCTGAAGCTTCCCTCTCCCTCTGTTGTTGACTGTTGGTGTGATAAAACAAACAACAACTATAAAACTTGCACCAGACATGCGAAAATAATTACGAAATAATTACGAAATAATAACGAAATAAATTGAAAAAATTGTTTCGAATCTAATTTACTCCTCACACTATTCCTGCATGGCTCAATATTGGATCGTAAGCTAATTTAAATACGAATTAATAACGAATTACGAAATTAACGAACGAAACCGCCCAAGCCTACTATGTACAAATATGGGTTTATTCAAAGCAAAATGCCCACATTGTTTTTTTCCCAGGAAAACAGCATTTATGTGTTGTTGTTGTTGTTGTTGTTGTGTGCCTTCAAGTTGTTTCTGACTTGGATTTGTTCAGACAAGGTTTAGTTTTGCCTCCTTCTGGGGGTGAGTGTGACTTGCTCAAAGTCACTCAGTGTATTTCCATGGCTGAGCAGGAATTTGAACCATGGTCTCCAAGCTCACAGCCTGATGCTCACCACACCAGCTCTGCTTAGAAGTGTCCTTTCCTGTATACAAAATAATGTGTTCTGCACAGGAAATTTGTTTTCTGCTCATAAAATGCCTCTTTCAAACAATAATATATTGTTTTTGCAAATAATGTGTCCTGCACTGTGAAGATTCTGAGCCATCTTTTATTCTCTCAATCTGACTCTCCCAATACTTAAGAAACACATTTTTCATCCGTCACTTTGCTAGTTTTGAATATTCTGCCCATCTCTACACTAGTGAAGTGTTTTTTATACTGTCCAACATGCCATACATCATGACGGCAAAATATATTTATCTGTTATTCATTAGTCTTTCCCAGACTTCACCCAGAAAAAAAAAAAAACACAGATTGCTGAAATCTTCCACCTTCTGCTGTAATATATTTTCCTATATTTCTGTACTGATTTTAAAGCAAAGAAAGAGTTCATCTGTCTTTTCCTTCTGGTCAAGGATGTACCAAAAATCATTTTTATGTGTCGTTTTGTACCCTACATCATGACATTATTTGCGATAAAACCCAGCCCAGTGAATTTCTTTTTAAGGTTAGAAATCTTTCTGCTCAGTATATTGATGTTTGGAAATTTCATCACAAACTTCAGAAATACACAAAGGCCAAGGATTAAGCATGTTCCTGTTTGTGTTTCAATTTGGGAAGTATAAGTTTCATTTAGTTTGCAATTCTCAATCTTGACTAGACCTACACTTATGAGTCCCAAGAGAAGTGGCTGGGAAATGGAGACTTGAAGTCCCAAAAACGTAGAATTGAACACAAAGACCATCCAGTCTAACCCTGTTCTGCCATGCAGAAATATACAATCAAAGACTTAGAAGAATAACATTTTTGTTATGTATGCCTTTGTCAACTTGACTCCAGTTTGTGGTGACCTGATTTATGTTTTATTGACATGATTTCTTCAAGAAAGATTGCCATTGCCTGAGATTAAGTGTTCAAGTTCACCCAGTGGGTTTCCATGCATGAGCAGACATGTCCACCTTGGTCCCAGTCCAACACTCAAAGCACTACTTCACTTTGACTCTTGTGGTTTTCTTGGCAAGATTTCTTCAGAGGAAGTTTGCCATTGCCTGTCTCTGATGCTGTGTGGGTTTCCATGTCTGATTAGGGGTTTGAATTCTGGTCTCTAGGGGTGCTAGTCTGACATCATAACACTATACCACTGTCTCTTTTTACTCTACTACTACAACAAATAACTTCTCTCAAATGTCTCCCAAATACAAAAATAATGACAGCATCCAAACTGACTTACCAAGCATGGGTGTAAACACAAACCCATTTTGGATGAATAGAAGCCATATTTATTTCATATTACAAGCATTGCATAAATTAGTATAAAACTGATAAAAATAGAAGGTGTGCAGGTGGCTAAATATCTTTTGACCAAAAATGGGCAACAGCAAGGGCATTGTCTGTAGCCTCCAACAATTCCTCCTCTGTACATAAGGCAGGGCACAATGGACAAGCATACAGATGCAGAGTTGTCTGTTCTGCTCCACAGTCACACAAGGTATGAGATTCTTTTAGGTAGATGCCATAGAAAGGAGTGAAAAGACTAAAAGTGGCTTTAATGTTACTGAGAAACAATACTCTGCATTGCCTTTGTTCTCGGTTTTCATCAGGTACCATCATTCTCTCTAAGAAGAGAAGACCAATTTGTTCTACCTCACTATCACAATGGAACTGGAGCAACAAAGTCATCACCAGTAGAGCCAGTAGAATGACCCGTTGATTCATTGTTTTGTTGTTGGTAAATCCTTCAACTTCTCCAACAAGTTTTCTGTATAGTGCAGGGACCTCCTTTGGGAAACAGAGTCCAGCATCTGGTTAGCTCTTTGTATAATTCACAGCAGCTGCAAAAGGAGCAGTCATACAATTATTTATTTATTTATTTATTTATTTATTTATTTCGGTCATTTATACCCCGCCTTTCTCACCCCCTAGGGGGGACTCAAGGCAGCTTACATCCGGCACAATTCGATGCCCACAATTACAATAAAATGCAATAACAATAACACAATAGATTAAAAACAGACAATTAATACAGTACAATATAACACAATACAATATCAACTAAAACCGCTCTAAAGCCCACGTTCATCGTGTTCTAAAATCCGTCAATCCGTTTAGCATTGCCATAGTCCTTTCCAACTCTAGTCATCATTACCTTGTTACCCTGCCAGACTACCCAAATGCCTGGTCCCATATCCATGTCTTCAGCTTTCTCCTGAAGGAGAGGAGGGATGTTGACAACCTAATTTCCCCGGGGAGTGAATTCCACAGGCGAGGGGCCACCACTGAGAAGGCCCTGTCTCTCGTCCCCACCAGCCTCACTTGTGATAAAAGTGGGGCCGAGAGCAGGGCCTCCCCAGAAGATCTTAAACTCCGTGGTGGGACATAGAAGGAGATACGTATGGACAGGTACACTGGGCCGGAGCCGTATAGGGTTTTAAAGGTCAAAACCAGCACTTTGAATTGTGCTAAATGTGTCAGCCAGTGGAGCTGACGTAGGGAGGGGTGTGCTCCCTGTATGATGCTCCGGTGATTAATCTGGCTGCCGCCCGTTGGACTAGTTGAAGTTTCCGAACAGTCTTCAAAGGCAACCCCACGTAGAGTGCGTTGCAGTACTCTATTCGGGATGTAACAAGAGCGTGGACCACTGTGGCCAGATCAGACTTCCCAAGGTACGGGCGCAACTGGCGCACAAGTTTTAATTGTGCAAAAGCTCTCCCGGCCACCACTGAAACCTGGGGTTCCAGGCTCAGCGATGAGTCCAGGATCACTCCCAAGCTGCGAACCTGCGTCTTCAGCGGGAGTGTAACCCTGTCCAACACAGGCTGTAACCCTATGCCCTGTTCGGCTTTGTGACTGACCAGTAGGACCTCTGTCTTGTTTCAATTTGTTAGCTCTCATCCAGTCCGACACAGCGGCCAAGCACCGGTTCAAGGTTTGGACAGCCTCCTTGGTCGCAACCTATGGTGACAACCTACAACCTATGATTGATCATGGAATCACTAGACCAGACACAAAGATTGTTTTGAATACAGATAATTTTATTCAAACTAAAGTCTATTTATGCATTTTGTAACCAAAAGAAACAAGAGTTGGGGGACAACTTGATGCAGGTTCAGCTGAGGCCAGGTGTCTACTAAGAATGTGCAAAATCTTCAGTTTTGTAAATTGTAAGAAAGTTTGTTAAATCTGTACATCTGAAGCAATATTTGACACGTTGGCGTGAGCTGTGCCAAAAATATTAGAATCAAAACTTACCCAATACATTTTTATTTGTATTTTGTAAATTTCTGAAAGTTCCCTCCAAAGTCAGCTTCGTATTAATGGCAAGCAAGCCAAGCCAAGCCAAAAAGGTTCCCATTCCTCTGTAAATCTATGACCTCTTACCATTAGGGTAGGGAAAGGAGGGAGAAAGCAGAGTTCCCTGGGAAGAAGCACAAAACTCTGGGAAGTGTACTTTGGGATGGCGTGGAGCCCTATGCCAGAGAATTCAAAATGTCCTGCCTTAAACTACAAAAACTTTGTCTTTGTGGGAAGGGACATCATGCTATAGCACAATAGTTTTTTAATGAATATCTCATGATCGAGTCTCAACCAATTCAACATAGTTTCTGCCACACAAACAAAGTTTATGAAGTGGAACAACTACTTTCAAAGTAGTTACTACACCATTTACAAGAAATAACACTTTCAAACTAGGAACATATTTTATTCATTAAAAATTATTTATAAAAACTGTGAAAATTCCCCAAAAATCCATGAATAAGTGAAATGATCTGGAATTTGGTGAACCAGCTGTGGTAAATGTATTCTACCATTGTAGAAAATTTCATCCCAATAGCTCTGACAATGAGAGAAAGGAGCCCCCAAAATTTCCCCAATTATAATAATTATGCAGAATTATTACTATGACAAATAGTAATGAGATTTAATTATTCTCGTTATAGTAATTTTTTTCACTAACAATACTTTAGAAACACTTTAGAAACAAGGAGCCGATGTGCCTCCCCCACTTTTTAATGACGTTTGCAACATTTTTTATTGATTGCACACAGCTTGCGTCTACCCCAAGATAAGCCTCCACCCAAAAAAACCCTTTTTTTCAGCAAAGCACCTGAACCCAAAAGTCAATCCAATATTTGGGATATTCCCTGCTCAGACATTTACTGGAAGATAAACCTAAGGCACTTACACCCAAGTCATGAGACTTTAGAAGTGAAAACAAAATCCCTAGGTGTGCCTCAAGGATAGGTGCCATCCCAACTACTCAAGTCCTAGGACCTGTGGATGCTGCTCC